ATTGCGGTGTTAAATCGATTTAATGGTACCAACGATCCACCTCCCACTTGTTGTTTGGTACTTAGCATTAATAGTGTTAGCTGTAGCCATTTATAGCAAGAATCTTAAAACTAAAGGGGATGACAAGGAAAAGAGGAAGGAAAAAGAATAACGGGACAAACAATTAATTAAAGTATTTATAGGAGCATTAGATATTGTAATTACAAGCTTCAATAATAAATCACTGACTAAAACTTCTAATTAAAATGACACTTGGTACGCTCGCCCATTTTCACTGGTCAGTCTGAACTTCGGTTTAGCACGTTGTACACTTATTCACCTAAGTTTCAGAATTTGTTCAGTTTAGCAGAGTTAGTACCCGTGTTTCAATAAATCAAAAGATATCAGGGGAGTTCTTTAATAATGTTACGGTCATCTAGAATACCGAACTTCCTGAAGACGTTATCATATTTCCTCAGACAACGTTTAATGCCTTTAATCAGTCTATCACGGCTATATCCTCTATTAATTAGAATTTTGAATATTTTGTGAAGATGGGAGGTAAAGATATCCAATCTAGTGCAAACATTACCATATCTAAGAACTTGACTTGAAAAAACGTTGTAGCCAACCTCGGTTGGGATGTTACTGTGAGGAAATGTAAGGGATACAACATGAAAATTAAAATCATCAGTTTTGTTATACACTGATATTTCTAGTCCTTCTGTGGAAATATTAATATTTAAATCAAGGTAGTTAATGATTTTATTATTGGAACCAGCTCGCTCCATCTCCAATGAATTAGGATAAATATCTTTAATCAATTTATGAAAGTAAAGGTAGTTAATAATAGATAAATCGTCAACATATCGTTTATTATTGGATAATATCTTTGCTAATCCCATTTTCTTTTCCTGAAGTAAACGTTTCATATAATTAAATTCCTTTTTGCCAACAGTGAGATCAGCTATAGGGGAACTTGAATTTCCACCCATAGGAATACCCTTGGTTTGTATGAATACAATCCCACCGAAGACGACATAAGTGTTATAAATAATAAATTTAACAGCCTCTTTTAGGTCATCTTGACTAAAGCAGGCATGACAATCATAGGTTTTATTGGAAAAGAAACATGTATTACTGTCTCTTTTAGAAATACAAATATATCTATTACGGTCTGAAAATATTAAATCAACAACTTCATTAATCATATTCTCTACTTCAATCAAGTCTAATCTGGTATAAAGAGTAGTAAAATCATATACTTGTATATTATGAACATCGCTATTTTTGATAGCTTCAAGGAATTCACTTGAGGAATCTATGCTCCAAAACATGTTTATACCGCTGTTGTTGTAGATTGCCTCGCAGTATTTCTTGAAGTATTTCCTCAAAAGTTTCAGACAACAGTTAACTTGGACGTTAAGTTGTTTCGTAACGCAAAAACGGGCACCTGCAATGAACCTCGCCTTGTAAGGGTTCTTATGAAGCTTAGGGTTCCAGAATATGCGTGCTAGTCGCAAGTTTTTATCTTCAACTTGTACATTAAATCTCTCCTTTAGACTCTCAGATATTTTATTGACATAATGAGTCTCGTCTTCGCTACAGGGTTTATATGTATCATTACCTATACATTCTAGAGTATTAGGATCAAAACCCATTTCATTGACAAGAGTTTTTACATAAAACTTTTTACAAATAAATGAAAAATTACCAGAAGCTTTGTCGATACTACAAATAATGTATTTACTTTTCAGCAATTTAAGACTTCTTTTAACATCATCTTTTTCCAGTGTGTTTTCTTTTATTTCAAATGTTTCAGGAAAGTTTTTCTTGTAATATTCAATACGATTGGAAACTATTGATAACACTTTTTCCTTCCAATCGCTGAACTTTACTTCTTTTTGACAGTACTTTCTACTTTTTGATTTTATAAATTTATCGACAGCTTCGGTAACTGACATATATATCTCATCTGGAGATTTAAATGTGGGAATTCTGTATTTACAACCGTAGGAAAGTACTTCCCTAAGTTCAACATTATCAACAATATCTAAATTACCAGTAACTACATGTCCATGAGGAGGATAATTGAAAGGGGAGGAGTGACAATCGCATGGACTACCTAAAATAGATTTAATATCAGAAATAGAAAGTTTCTTTAAGAATGAAGCATAGTTACAAATAGAAAGACTTATAGGATCATTATACTCATAATAAATCTGTAATGGTGTAAAAGACTGAATCAAAATGGGAAGCAAATCAATGACTGAAGTGTCAGAGAAAATAGATTTTAGGTTAAGATTATCAATGAATTTGCAATTAAATGGAACAATTATAAATTCTCTTTTACTGGATTCAGATTTGTTCTGATGGTATTTGGGGGAAAATGTTGAACAGAAAGAGGAACATACGTTGTAAATCAATCCTGAATTATTTTGACTCAAAGAGTAGAGAGTGTCTAAATCTGATAAGCTATAACATTTTAATGTTTTGTATATGGAATGTTCTGAAGAGATGTTATCTTTCAGCCTGTTAATATCAGACTCTATGGTATCCAGAGACTTCTTAGGCTGAACTTTCTTCTTTCCATTCCCTCTGCCACGTTTGTATCGAGCAATCTGTCCACTAAAATAATTCATAACCCGATCTTGGGAGATGTTGCCCGTTCCTTTCTTCTTGTCATTAAGACCAAGAGGGAATGCTGTCCCAAGCTTCTCTATCCAGTAATCCTCCAGGAGAAGTAAATCATTTTTGACATCGGTGGACATGTCAGAATCAACATAATCTACAATCTGTATGGAAGCATCTGAGAAGACGTGACCAGGAATATTAAAATGTTCATATAAAAATGTGGATGATTTGGCTTTGACACAATTTCTGTGGCCATTGACTCTTTTATGAAGTGGTTGAGTTGTTTCTCCAACATATTGTTTTTTACAGGTAGAACAGGTAATAACATAAATAACATTATTAGTTTTACAATTAAATATAAAATTTGTATGTCCAAAGATAAAATCATTATTAAAAGTACTGCTCCTAAATGTATTAACAGGATTAAAACTGTTGCAAGTGAGACAACCTCTACCATTGCAACATCTAAAAGAATTTATATTGAATTTTTATATAGGGTAATTGTTATATTATGTGTATATTGTTTGAATAATTTTCTTAGTGTGCTAGTAGCAGTTAGAGGTGTACGTGGTAAGGCAAAGAAGGCATGGACTGCCCCTATATCCAATGTCTCCTTCAACCTGATACCTGAGGAGAAGAGCTACGAGGGATAGATGATATCTATTGCTCAGGATTTACGATTGTGCTCTGCCAATTGCATCACTTGATTTAATTTATTGTATATATAATACTGTTTGACATTTCTTAGTTAATAAATATAATAATCAATAAATTAGAATAGAAACTTGTCTTCTTTTCAGCTCACTCTTCTGAAACCTCTTCCTCTACATTCCTCTACATTCTCAGCCTCATTATCAACTTCATTGCCAAGTCCTTGTCTAAACCATCAAATCCCAGTTGTGATCTAGGAATTATACAAATTTGTTCAATACTCTTAGATCATAAAAGGTTAGGGAGTGTTTGATGGGCGAGGGCCTGAATCACTTGTTGTTTTGATGTGAATTTATGGAATTTTATATTTAGTCTAGTTGACCGTTTTATAAGTTACAAAGGGTTTTTTTCTACCCTGGTTCTTACAAATTTATACCGTTTTTATTTATTAATTTATTACTTAATTGAGAGAAGTTTACTTTTAGGTGTCCAACCTTAGAGTGAGACAATCACCATTGCTGGATTTATTTGTGTATTATATTGTTTGAATAATTTACTTTGAAAACAAACAACATTTTTTTAAAATTTACAGAGCTGCTGTACAACTGGGCACTAAGTTTAGTTCATTCCCATTACAAAGATGCTTCATTCATTGTGGGATTTTTAGGTACTTCTGTACCACGTTCAGCTTTGCCATGAAACTCCTCACAATCGTTGTCATTTGATTTCTTTTTGAATTTACAGACTAGACTCAGCTTCAGGGTCATCAGAGTTGTCCACTTTATTCTGCGTTTGTTACCTGCTCAATGAAGTGTATTCTTGATCAGGATGTGTGAAGTATGTTCAAAAGATGAATGGAAATATAAATGCCCTAAATGTGTGATCAGATATTGCTCTCTTGACTGCTTTAAATCCCATGAGTGTAATCCACTTGTGCAGAAAACTCCAATTCAGCCACAAAAGAGAGGACCTAGGCCTCTTCAACTTGACTCTGATGACGAGACAGATTTGCTAACATCAGAACAGCTTCAATCTCTAAACTGTGATGCAATGACACAACTTCTTGGTAAATGGGCTACTGTTATGATAGTACCACAAACTTTACGAAATCTCTTTTGTATAAATATCTGGGATATTGACTTAAAATTACCGTTTCACAGAAACAATAATACAAATATAATGGTTTACCCATTTATACACAAAATGTTCAACTTCACCATACTTGCATTCTTTATGATTAGTAATTTATCTCAGGGAATCCTCATCTCAGAAACATTTTAATGGAAATAAACTCAGCCCGGGAACCAGAGATTGCCCTAGAACACTTCTATGATGAACCAATTGTTTCAGAGTTTATAAGCAAATGCCTTGAAACTTTTCCAGAGGAGGCATCAGGATAGCTAATTTATTTTTAGCTCAAAGTCATGTTGCTTTTTAAAGATTTTTTAGTTGTGACTGAATTCTAGTTTTTGAGCCAATTTACACTATTTTGCCCCCCCCCCCCCCCCCCCCTCAATTTGGCTTACAACAAGATACCTTTTTTATTTATGAGTCGTTTCTGTGATGATAGTTTGATATATTCACCTAAAGTGAGTCTTATTTTTTGTAAAAATTGCTGCTTTTAGGGATACAATATTAAATATGACCTGGTTTAAGACCTAATATCCTGTAACATATTACTTACAGGCCACATTGTTTCAATTAATACTAACATAATAATATTTACCAACAGATTATGACATGTCTGATCAACAAGTTGTAAAACTACCTCGCACAGTTAGAGTTTGGAACTTTGTCAATTCGGGTCGAGGACTTCTTTCATTTTGGGCTTTAAACTTTGTTGGTGCCATCAGCACAGTTATTTACTTAAAAGTGCGATACACTGGTCTGCGACGTAAAACTGTCAGAGAGAAGATCATTGCACGTCGTCTTGCTGTAATTAGTTAACTGACTGATATGAAGGTATTTTTGATCTTATTTAAAGAGTTACAGCCATACTACGCATAATGCTTCCAAGTTCCTTTAAATATCAAATTGAATTGTTTAACCAAAACTTCAATTGTAATGAATGGCATATAATTGAAATTTATGACTGATTTGAGTAATGTCATACTATTATACCTTATACCTTCTTATTTAAGTTTCCAGTCCTTACTTAAAATTGAAGTAAATTCTGCGATGTTAGATTAAACACTGCTGAGTATAAGTTTTATCTTAAAAGTAGTGTTGTTGAACTTCAATTTATTATTAATACATATTATCAAAATTTACATTACACCTTCACAATTTGTGCTTCAGATTAAGAAAGAAAAGAAACACCTGAGGTTGGTCGGCTTAGTTGATTCTTTATTTTTATTCCGTAGTCCTCATTAATAAATGTGATTGAATCTGTTCATTGTAAGTGAAATGCGCATGGCACTCAGCCAGAATATAATATACATAATTGTACTGTTTCAGGTACACACCACCGCCACAGTTCAAACCAACACAGAAACCTTCTAACCTGGGAAATAAAGAGTTGTGGCTCGTCCAGATTCCACCTGGGGTTAGTCTTTGTTTTTGAGATTATTGATAGCAGGAGATCAGTACCCTCGGGTTTTTGTTCTGGATATGTTCAATTTAAGCTGTGGTTATAATATGGCAAAAATGAAAAATTGTTACTTTCTCAATTGTTTCAACCTTATATTTGCCATGGAATCTGAATAACTAACCACAAAAGATTTATAATTATATTTTCAAATTATCATGACTTGAATGTGTTTGCAGAGTATCAATTTAGTATTAATTATAATACTATTTTAGGTAAAAGCAGAGTCCCTCAATGGTACGAAGTTCAAGCTGAAAAACAATAAAGTGATATCTCTGAATGAGGTTAGAATGAGTGAACCAATTATATAATACAGTTTGATAAATTGACAACGTACCCTGAATTTAAACTTAAAGAATCTTAATTGTCAGAAACATCTTGAAATTCTCTGAATTTTCTTGTATAGTAGGAGTACCTAGTTCTGTTATTGAGATCACGTTGACGGTTAAAGTGTAGTTCCTAGCTACTAGTAACCAGAATGCCTAGTTATAATATTTTCAGAACACAGAGATGTTTATACACAAGAAGAGCTCTGGTCACGTGGTGTCCGCTGACAAGTCAGTTCCACTGCAGGGACAGATCACTCTCAGACACAAGATTGAGATTCCCATTCTTAATAAACCTGTGGAAATGCCAGTCGCTGAACGGTTACCAACAGATCTGAAGTACAGGCTTTCCAGGCTACCTCAACAACAGATTAAAGAAGAGATTAGTTAAAAATAGTAGATTTACTAGAGGATACCCAGTGTGACCCCTGGTAATTTCGTTTCGAACAACTAAATGTATCATTCCAAAACCTGACCCTTTTAAGTATATATGTATTAATTCAACTAGATTAGGATTTGATGCTAACTTTGCCCTTTTAGATGAGGGTTTTTCATAAATTATTAATTTATTGGTTTTCTATCTTTACATCTTTATTAAAGATCCGTGCCCACCCCTATCTTTAAGATATATTTGTTGAAAAATTTGATAAAAAATGTGTCAAATAAATTTTTGTGTGCGATATGTTTTGAAAGTGATGATAACATATTAATGTATATGTTATAACTACATAATATTACATTGTGACTGAATAAATTACCAATTAATTAACTAATTACCAATTAATTTTGACTAATTACCAATCATATAACTAATTACCAATTAATTAACTAATTACTAATTAATTAACTACATTAGGTGGGTATGGACACCCTACTCCAGGAATCCTTCCCAGAGTTGGACCCCTGTATTCAGGAGTACCTCCTGGGCATGCTTGATGATGACACTACAGTAGAGGATTTAACATCGTAAGTGATCCAGGTAACTTGCCTGTTATTATAGGTCGTAGCCTGAATACTGGTGCTCGGATAGCTCGAATCACGTGACACTTAAACAGTCAGACCTTATAAGGCATGGTTGTTTTAATAAAACAAATATCACGTGACCATGGCAACCCGACTGCTATCTTTTAGCTGAACTGCCTATAACAAACGTTCTAAAGCTTATTAGACTCCTTCAGTTTAAACAACTCTGAAGACTTGTTTGGCAAAAAAATTCATTGTATCTAGCATGGTAAGGATACCCCCTCACTCTCCGTAATCATTTTTACACATAGTTATTGTGTCAAAATTACACTAGCGTGATCATTTGGAAACCCCCCTCCCCCTCAGCCTCGACTGATTACGTAATATGTGAACGACCCCTCGAAAGATATGATTAAACACGTTTTCTGTTTTAGTTTTTAAGTTTATTGCCATTAAATAGGGTTTTACCGATTTTATCTTCTTTGTAGACTTATCAGATCTTTAGAATGTTCATAATTAACTACTTCAGATTTGTGTAAAGTTTGATAATAAGGATACTAACTCTTCTAGTAGTATTAGTTTTCTATCTAGATTTTAACTCCCTAACTCCCCAACCCTTCTGCAGATCAGATGACCTGTTCGACCTGATTGGGCCGTTTATTTTGAACGGTTGTTCAGATGTGAAGGAGGGAAAAGTAATGAAGCTGTGTGCGGCAATGTATGACACCCTCAACATACCCACCTCCAACAGTCAGCAGACCATTCTCAGCGCTCCAATCCAGATTTCTAACATGACAATCGCCGACACCAGCCGTTAGTCTGAAATATCATGTATTATTTCTGATGTTTATGGTATTTCTGATGTTTTTTTTTTTCCAAGTCAAATATCGATTTCGGGTAGAATGTTTAAATAATTTGATAATTTTTTATTTCAAATTTCTACAGAGCTGAGCGGGAACATCTGGAAGGCCACAAAAGGAGAAAACTCAACAATTGTGAACAAACAGAAACTGGAGAAGGCAGAAGCTAAGCAGCGGGAGAAAGCGGAGAAGAAACTGTTTAATGAAGCAAACAAGAAACCACCTCCTAAAGCTGTGCACAACGACTCAGGAACAGTTAGTTAATATTGCCTGCTCTATTGGGGTATATTTTAATGAGCCAATAACGTATAATTGCAAAGAAAACACAACGACTCAGGAACAGTTAATTAATATTACCTGCTCTATTGACTATTGGGGTATATTTTAATAATGAGACGTATAAGTGCAAAAAAAACACAATTTGTATTGATCATATCAGAAAATTTAATATGAAATGAAAGGTTTCTTATTTTTGTAAGCCATAATGTGTACTAATAATGTTGTTTACAGGTGCAGCAGGCAGTAAACAAGAAGGACCAGTATCTGACGGCTAAAAGTGATATCCACATTAACAACTTTGATCTCATGTATGGAGAGAAGAAACTGCTCATGGATGCCAGTCTTACAATCAATTACGGACACAGGTATGTCACTCAGTTTTGAAGCTACATAGGTCTTATCTAGGTCACTAGTCTTTTATCTAGGTCACTAGTCTTATCTGTGTCTTATCTTAATCTAGCATTAGCTTTTTTATTTATTTTTTTAACATCTTTCTATCCTGAAAAGGCTGAACTATATTTTGACAATTCTTAGTATTTTGGGACACCCTCTTGAGTCTTGATGATGTGCACTGAACTAAATTAACCTAAAATAAGTAACTAACAGAATCATGACAGGTACGGTTTGGTTGGAAGGAACGGTTACGGAAAGTCTACACTGATGAACGCAATAGCAAAGAGAGAACTGGCAGTACCTCCTGCTGTTTCTTTGTTACATGTCGCTCAGGAAGTGGAGGGTAAGTACTTTCTAATCAGTAATATAATCAGTAAAATATTCAATATTCATATCTTAATATTTAACCTAAAGTAAGTAATATCGAATGTGGTGTTTTAATTTTTAGTTGACATTTTCCGCTGAGATTGTGACATTTCTACCCGGCCTGAAGTGTCAGATTATATAATTAAATTGTATAATTAAATTGTATAATTAAATTGTATAATTAAATTGTATAATTAAATTGTATAATTAAATTGTATAATTAAATTGTATAATTAAATTGTATAATTAAATTGTATAATTAAATTGTATAATTAAATTGTATAATTAAATTGTATAATTAAATTGTATAATTAAATTGTATAATTAAATTGTATAATTAAATTGTATAATCAAATTGTATAATTAAATTGTATAATTAAATTGTATAATTAAAGAATTAAATTGTATAATTAAATTGTATAAATTTTAAATTGTATAATTAAATTGTATAATTAAGTTGTATAAATTTTAAATTGTATAATTAAATTGTATAAATTTTAAATTGTATAATTAAATTGTATAATTAAGTTGTATAAATTTTAAATTGTATAATTAAATTGTATAAATTTTAAATTGTATAATTAAATTGTATAATTAAGTTGTATAAATTTTAAATTGTATAATTAAATTGTATAATTAAATTGTATAATTAAATTGTATAATTAAATTGTATAATTAAATTGTGGGGGGGGGGTGTAACCCAAAAAAAAACCCAACTCCTACCCAAGAAAAGGTAATACTGGGATTGGGTTTTTTTGGGTTTTTTTGGGTTTTTTAAACAAAATTTAAACAAAATTCTAGCCATTTCATTACTTGTATTGAATGTGAATTATTTCCCACTGAGTCTTACCTACGTGTTGTTCTCATGTCTTAACTTAATAGATAGTTTACATAGTATATAATAAGTGTGTTTATAATTATATTGATAGTATGTTATCACGATAGCAAACAGGATGTCTCGTTCATCGAGATATAATCCATATGAATGCACAAAGTGGAAATGTGCCAAACGTGGCATATGTGTTCTCCTGTCATGGAAGGAGGCTATGACGAAGGTCAAGGGCAAGTCAAAGCACATGACTTAAATTACTTGACTTAAGGCGGCTTCAGAGTCCGAGTCTCGATGATGTGTCTCCAAAGCTTTCTGTCCACCATAAGCTCCTTAATCTCCCTAGTGTTCTTGAGTCCAGTGTCACTTATTAGGTTATCGACGAAGGTGAGCGGTGGTCTACCCCTCCCTAGGTTCCCAAAGGAGAAGTTGGTGTGCTGCCAGGTCATCATGTCGCTGGATGTGCCTAGCCAACCTCATTCTTCTGGCATGTATCTTCGAAATAACTCTTGGGAGTGATCCGAAGACCTCCTTGTTGGTGCGATGTCCTATTCAGTCCACGTTTAGGGCCATCCGAAGCATTCTACTGTAAAGCTGTAACATCCGTCTATTCTTTTCTTCAAAGATTCTGTTATTGTCCACGTTTTCGTTCCATACAGGAAGATTGATTCAACCGTAGGTTGAACAGACGGATCTTTAAATCTCGGCGCAAATTGGACCTCCATATAGCCTACATTTTGTGGTAGGCAGCCCATGCCTTGGCCTTGCGTAACCTAAAGTCGTGCTCCGTTGTACTAAAATCCTCAACTTCTTCTAAAGCATGTCCGTCCTTAGAAACTATTGTGTGTGGCTCCTCTCCTACTAAATGAATGTAAGATGCTTGGTTTTAGACAAAAAAGATTTCATGCCTCCTCATCAGATGAGGCTTTTGTAGGACTGTAGCATGTGATGACAATGAGCCTGGGCTTTCCATTAAGAGACATGGTGAGGATCCTTGCGCTGTAAGATTTTATAACTTTATAAGACTTATAGCCTCATATGCGCTGCTGTCCTCGTCAAGATGATTTCTACTCTCCCATTAGAAGCGCCAGCTGCGTTTCTCCACGCAGATGAGATCACTGGATGAATCCCTTTGCTCATCTTTTCTATTCTGGTATTCTCAGCAATCAGCATGCACTACCCGATGTTCGATTCTTGCAGGGCAAGGATGTGCAGCTTGCTTCGAGAAAATAGTTCTGCAAGTTCGATGCGTTTGTGCTGTTCTCTGGCTGTTCTTATGTTAAATGTGCTTACCTTAGCAGTCCTTTTACATGATACAATACAATTGAGGTTCATATCTTTTTGATGTTTTCTTGTTTGACTTTCTGTAGAAATAGGTTGTCGTGTTGTGGAGACCGAGTCATCAGCTTCTGTAATAGCAGCGTAATTACCCCGGCAACCACTTCCACTAGAAAAATAAGGGGCTTTAACCCTTAAGCTGTTGATAAACTTCATCTTGACTTTTCAGTTGGCTCACAATCCTGTGCAGTCCCCTGCACATTGGCAGTGGATTGTGTTCTTAACTCTTGCGCCACTAAAAGGTTAAGGGCATCCGCTTGAACAATAGCCATCTTTAACTCTCACCATAATATCTTGGGTATCTTGAGCATGTAATTGCACGAACATAATATGCTATACAAGACACATGCGACACTTCCTTTTTCTACCCAACAGTATCAGTTGTAATCCTTACCCAATCGTCACCTGCTCCAGTGTGGGACTTTCCGATTTTATCCCAAAGCATAAGGAGGTTAGAGTGAGAACAGAGCTACACTTTAGCGGGGACTAACCCTTCCCTTGACTACTTCGTTACCCGGTACCCCGGGCATAGGGAACCGTATCCTGACTACCAGAGTGTGGCCCAGTCTAGCTGGGTCATAGTATACTAGGTTGAACAGGGTAACAGCCAACACATCTTTAGCTACTGTGCAATCCACAGTAAAGATTTACGAGTCTGAAAGCCTCTTCAAGTAGACCAAGAGTTAAGGAGTCAATAGATCAAATTATTGAACTTCCGGGGCTCAACGTCTCCCGTCGACCGTCCTGCCTTTAGCCTGGACCCCCTGTCCAGTATCCAGTCTTCACCACGCGGAGGTAGTGGCTTTCATCATGCTGTCCGATGAGTGTCTGGAAGAGGGCACCAGCAGGATATCCCTTTTCAAAGTTCTGGGAGCCTCACATCAGACCAGGGCTTCCACCCAGCTTTTATCCAGCGGTGACGCCTTGGCCCTTGGGCCACCTAAGCTTCACACAACCATTGAAAGACCACCTGCCTACTTTTAAAAATTTTGACGATGCGATTATTACAGTCGAGGGTCTGATGCTGTACATTCTCAGTGTAACAGCTGACAAGTGACAACAGTTATCAACACTTTATGCCCTGGCCGTTTACATCCGATGCCTGCGAGCAAACTTTATGCTTTCCTGCGCATAGGCCTCCATGCAGGCATTAGAACTAATCTGTGTTCTAAGGATATGTTGGTTGGCATGGGCAAATCAAACCGTTTCCTCGAGCTTGATGCACTCGGCAAAAGTTTGATCCCTGTAACAGTTGCCCACCCTCGCAACAAGCTTGTTATACCGCATCCGAAAGCAGAAACTATTTAGAGGTAAAGATACTTCAATCCCAAGATTGTTACAAGCTATGAAGAAGGGAGTCTCAAGGGGTAGAGAACTCCTTCAAGAACACTATAGCTTTGAAGGAGAGGCTTTCCAACCATCTTCTGACGGAGCAGAGAGTGACGAAGAGGAAACAGATGATGAAGAAGAGGAAGTGGAGTATATTGACTTATCAGAGGAATGGGCGAAAATAGTAACTGTGTATGGTGATGCTCTGCATCATGATACAGCTGTTGAGGTTTGCCTCAATGGAGGTCGGGATCGAATGCCATCCCAGTCAAGATTTTAGCGACTCCAGGGCCATAAACAAGCGAAGATATCACTTAATATCACATGTGATCATGCAGCTGATGGTAACTGCAAGATTCTTTCAGTTGGAGATAGAGCATGGTTTCTCGTTAAGCGGATGATCAGGAAAACGGAAACAGAGATCGTGAAGGTGAGAAGAAAGGCTTTATTCCTCTCGTACCGGTTGCGGTCAGGGTTGGGGTCATCAGTGAGTTGCGTCCCTACTAACTCAATTTGCCATGGCCATCGAAGTGAGCATTACATATGTCTGATATCATATCTGGATGGCCAACTTTTTCTGAGCACATCAGTGAATAAAATACTGCTTTTGGGTGATATTTAAGCGATCATATCTATTGTGATGTTGTAGTGATGAACCACAACAGTGATGCTGTACTGATAATTGTTTTGCTAGGTGCCTACATGATTTTATTTCCTTCAAATGAAAAATTTGTAAAAAACCCAAAAAAACCCAACTCCTACCCTGAAAAAGGTCATACTGGGATTGGGTTTTTTTGGGTTACACCCCCCCCAATTGTATAATTAAATTTTATAATTAAATTGTAATAAGATTGTATAATTAAATTCTTAGGTTTTGATCCTCTTACTTTAACGAGGAACTGATGTACTAGCCATTACTAATTATTGCTAATTATTACAAATATAACTTTAAACAGGAACTGATGTACTGGCTATTGCTAGTGTACTGGAGTGTCACACTGAACTAGCTGAGCTGAGGAGAAGGGAGAAGGTCGCTCAGGATACACTGGCTAAGGATGAAAATAATGAAGCTGCTGGAAAGGAACTCTCAGGTTTAATATATCAACATTTTTAATAGTATTATGGGCTGTTTAGCTTTGACCTAGTTGCTGTGAACATATTGGTGGGTGCATGTAAGAATATATATGTTATGATCTAACTGAACTGGATTCATGTGTTATCTCATTGTTCAATCTAAATGAAATTTTTCAGCGGTGTTTGCGAAGTTAGGAGAAATTGAGGCAGACAAGGCGGAGTCCCAAGCTGCTACTATTCTATCTGGTAAGAAGTTTTATCATAAATATTACAACATATTTATATTATATTAAGGGCACAGGGGGGTCTTCATATTATATTCAGCCCAGTTATCTAATACCCGTTTTACTAAATTTTGATGATTAAGATAACACTAATTTAACACTAATTTAACACTATTTTAAAACTATTCTAACACTAATTTAACACTAATTTAACACATGATATTATCCAGGCCTCGGTTTCAGTACTCGGATGCAAGGAATGGCAACCAAGGAGTTCAGTGGAGGATGGAGAATGAGACTAGCACTAGCTCGAGCTCTCTTCACTCAACCGGACCTCCTCTTGCTTGACGAACCTACTAACATGTTGGATATCAAGGCTATCATTTGGTGAGAGAGATAGGGGTATTGATGATAAGGTTATATTGTAATTAGCGGGGTGTAATTTATATTAGTCGTATTCCATAATAATTACAAATAATCAATAATTTGTCGACCTAAAAGAATGTATTTATTTTAACAGTTGAACTTTTAAAGGTAAATTACTCATCAGATTTCGATTGTATAATCACAATGAGAAAACAAATGTACATTCGCAATTATACTATTGCTAAACTATGTGCTCGTGTATTGATTATGATGATGTGTGTGGCACTGTGTCTACTGTCTATGAATTAACTATGAATTGAGCATATAATAGTAGGCATATTAAAGAAACTGTTAAACACTCTAAAAGGCTGTATCATCTTAATCGTCATCTCCCAGTGCGATTGCTAATCTAGATCTAATTGTTCATGATCAGTAAATATAAAAGGTCTTCTATAAATAGAACATATCCACATAAACCTATCCGGAGTATCTGTTTCCGTTAAATGTTCTGCAGAGCTAAGTCCCCTCTAGTGGAACCAGTCACTGATCTGCAGAGTATGATCCCCGGTCCCTTTCTAGTGACACTTCTCTCTAGTGACACTTCTTGTAACACCTCAGTGTCACTCCTTCTCCCTTCCTCACACACCTACACTTCCTCTTACACCCGCTCCCCTCTTTCAGCACCTTCAGTCCCCTCCTACTTGGCGTCACGTGACCAAACACCCCCTCCCAGTTCATTAAACTACACGTGTCAGGGCACCACTGCAACGTGCATAACCTGAGGGTCCTGTTAATGCACGTGCAACTATTACACCCGTCAAAATACAGCTGTCCTTGTTGAGCCCAGCGTGGTTTACCTTTTTTGTCGAGATAGGAGCAGCAAGTAGAATCTACATCGTCACATTCAGAAGAGTTAGCTGATTTGAACACCAGGAATAGCAACAGAAACTGTATCATAATGCAATGGTATTCAGGACAAACCAGAACTCAGAATCATGTGTGTTAAAAAGCTAGACTAAACATGAACCAGTTTTTATTCGTATTCTGAAATGTATCAAGGAGTCATCTTACAAGATTGTGACACCACTAACTTGTGCTCATTTAGAAGTGTTGTAGTGTGCCAATTACTGTGCGTCACTTTTAGGTTATTATATTTATTTTAATTTTATCATAAACTGTTTTCGTGGAGAATTTCTAGAAAGGGACTATTTGAAGTTTGTGGGTGTTATCACCCATCACCGGGTGTTATTTCAGTGATCTTGTCCTTCAAAGTTCAATATGTTAACTGTTATTTTGACAAAGAGAGCTCCTATCCTAGTAACAAAGCTAATTATCATTCACTATTATACTAACTATTGCTAATTATTACTAACTATTCCAGGTTAGAGCAGTATTTACAGAGCTGGCCGACAACACTACTGGTAATCTCTCACGACTTCAGTTTCCTAGACGCAGTAGCTAACATGATCTTCCATCTCCACTCTGCGAAGATAGACACCTACAGGGGAGACTTCCAAACTTTCCTCAAGTCTAAGACTGAGAAGTTGAAAGCCCAACAAAGCGAATACGAAGCACAACAAGCTGAACGAGCTCACATCCAGGCGTTTATAGACAGATTCAGAGTGAATGCTAACAGAGCAGCCCTGGTGCAAAGTAAGATCAAGATGTTGGAGAGGATGCCAGTGTTGAGGGCTGTGGAGCCGGAGAAGGAGGTGGTGTTTAAGTTCCCTGATGTGGATAACAACCTAGCTCCTCCCATTCTCCGTCTGGAAGCAGTTACATTCCATTACTCGCCCGAGTGCCCTATGTTTAAGAAAATAGACATTTCCGCTGACATGGATTCTAGAATCTGTCTTGTTGGTGATAACGGAGCGGGTAAATCAACTTTGTTGAAACTTTTAATCAAAGAGCACGAGCCATTGGACGGTTACTCGTTCCACCACCGGCACTTGAGGGTGGGCTACTTTAGTCAGCATTTTGTGGATCAGTTGTTGATGGACGATTCTCCAGTAAGCTTCATGGGATCTAAGATGCCCGGCACTAGCTCGGAACAGTGCAGGAGGTTATTGGGAAGGTTCGGTATATCTGGGGAGATAGCTATGAGACCTATTAGTACGCTCAGTGGGGGTAAGTAGTTATTTGTTACTTGTTGTAATATCTTGCAGTAAAACACCAAAATTCGGATGAAATCTTCGTAGTTGTTCTACATCATTAGTCCTGTAGGAGTTGCAAGTGTTGTTGTCTTGTTATTACTGGGGGATCCTACTGGGTCCCTACTGAGACCCTACTGGGTCTCTATTATGCTGTCTGTACTGCGACCAGATGTGTTTTGTCCGTGACGTACCTTGCTCTTACAATTGAACCTAGATCTGTTGTTTCACTTTAAGAAAGGTTTTGTCGTATAGCGACTTATTCCGACGTAATAGGACGTAATAGGACGTAATAGGACGTGTCACGTTTATAATGATAGATTATACGGATTTGAGCAGGTCGCTAAATTACTGTTCATGTTGTAATACTTGGCCAGACGCCAAGTTGGCCTGCTTGTAAGAGACAGTTTGTAGTACACCCTGTCGAGTTGGCGCACAACCAGAAAGACGACAGATCGACAGATAATTTGTTAGGAAATTTAAAACTTTCTGGATGTTGGTACTTTAGCCTGTTTGTTCGAGATAGTTTGTAGTATTTATTTAATCCAATTATTTTACCAGGTCAAAAAAGCAGGGTAGCGTTTGCAGTTTTATGTGCCAAAGAGCCTAATTTCCTTGTACTTGACGAACCTACGAATCATTTAGACATGGAGACTATAGAAGCACTTGGGGCGGGTTCGTTTAATATTTGTTTTTTTGTTTTTTTTTAGTCAGAAAATTATATCACAATAAAGTGATAAAGTTATAAAGTAATCATTCCACTCACTTTCGTGATAATGATTTCCAGTTTACAACATGTCCTCTAACTGAGCTATCATCACAGCAATAAAGGCGTATAAAGGAGGAGTAGTGATGGTTTCTCACGACGAGCGACTCATATCCATGGTGTGTACCATGTTGTGGTGGTGTCACGACCACAATGTTAGTGTGTTGGAGGGAGGCATCAGGGAGTACCGCCGTCTTATGGAGCTGGAACTCAAGAACTAGAGAGAAAATGATGAAACTGACGTGGGAGAATGTTGAAAGTGATCCTCAAGTTGGGACTTTTTGATCGTCAAGTTGAGACTCTGACCATCGAGTTGGGATTCTCTGATCGTGCTTGCTCCTGTTTTTATCTGTTTGAATTGTCATTGAATAAACTAATGAAGTTGAAATTGATGTGCATATTTCTGTAGATGTATAAACCTTTTTTTTATTTGGGCGATGTTGTATCAAATTGACTGCTTTGAAGACTGGAGATAAGAAATCCTAAAAGATATCATCAATAATTGATTCTAAAAGTTTTAAAACCTCCTGTGTACAGTATGACTGTTATATTCAAAATTAATTTCTAACAAAATTAAATTTATATCAGATCTGTAATAATTAAGATCTGTAATAATTAAGACCTAATACATGTATAATAGTTGACCTTTATCCTAACTGTTATACCACCACTAGGAGGGGGCGGCACCATGCCTCAGATATCATGTCGTTATTACGAACAGAAGTACCCGGAGGTGGACGAGGTTGTCATGGTAAATGTTGTTCAGATCGCTGAGATGGGCGCCTATGTCAAACTACTCGAATACGACGGACAGAAAGGTATGATCCTCATGTCCGAGTTCTCAAGAAAGCGTATCAGGTCTATAAACAAGTTGGTGAGAGTGGGAAGGAACGAGTGTGTCCTGGTGACCAGAGTGGACCAAGATAAGGGGTATATTGATCTCTCCAAGAGACGAGTCGTACAGGAGGATATTAAGAGGTGCGAAGAAAAGTACTCTAAAGCTAAAACAGTTAACCAGATCTTGAGACATGTTGGGGAGCTGCTAGATTACGAGGATGACAAAATGTTAGAGGAGCTGTACAAGAAGACCGCGTGGTGCTTTGACAAGAAATACCCGACGAGCGGAAAATCACACGAGATGTTCAAAGAAGCCGCTCAAAAACCTGAGGTCCTTGATGAGCTGGATATTGACGACCACACCAAAGAGGTTCTTTTGAAAAACATCAAGAGAAGACTCACTCCGCAAGCAGTCAAAGTAAGAGCTGACGTAGAGGTGCTATGTTATGCGTACGAAGGTATTGATGCTGTGAAAGCAGCTCTCAGAGCAGGTTTAAAACTAGCTACAGAGGAAGTTCCCTTGAAAATTAATCTTATTGCTCCACCTATTTACGTCATCTCTGTAACGTTGTTCAACGAAGAGAAAGGAGTTGAGGCAGTGAGAGCGTCTATGGAGGCCATCAAGAACTCAATAGAGGCCTCTAAAGGTACCTTTAACGTGAAGCTGGATCCTAAGGTAGTAACAGAAAGAGAGGATCAGAAACTACAGGAGGAACTGGAACAGAGGGAGAGAGATATGATGGAGAAAGATGGAGATGAAGACAGCGAAGATGAGGAAAGCGAAGATGACGAGGAGGAGGAGAGCGACGAGAATGAAGTCTAGTTTTGTGTTGAAACTTCTCCTCTGTTTCTTTTAATTTTTGAATTGTTTGGGTATCTTATGCTCGACATGTGCCATGTACATGATCTTCGTGTATCATTCTGATATTCTGTTTCCCATCTGCGACTCAAATTCTGGTCTCATTAAATATCTAGTACGAAATATCATCTCGTCACCTGAAAGCTAAAATGAAAATATTTAAAAAAGTATTTGCTGTAAATATTTTCATGTTCACGATACACAAAGCTAACCCGAACTTTTCCATGATTTAGCCAGTGTACTCGAGCGGTGCAAAATGACCTGCAGTCTAAGAATCTAGAAGAGATCCCAGAGGATGGAAATGAACTGATAACCTCGTCCCGCAATTCAGTAGCTGCTACAAAAACCCTGGTAACTAGTAATCCTGGTAACCCTGGTAACTGATAATGAAAACTAACGTGGTAGTAGCAGGCTCTGTAGCAGTGCTGTTTCTGGTCCCACTTGCTCTGCTCTGGTACCGTGGGAGGAAACAGGGGACAGGAGGGAGGAGGGATCGTATGGATGAGAGGCAACATGTCAAGAAGAACAAAGATAAGATAGTTAGAACCACTACTATCGAGAAGGAGGATGTTAGGTCAGTTTCTTACTTTCTTAGCGCGTTTATTACTTAACAGTGCATTTATTACTTGTAAGACAAAATTCAAGGGAATTTATAACTTATCAGTTAAAATTGTATTTTACAAAATCAGAAATGAAATCTAGAATTATATCCTATTGAGATAGGCACTTGAAAGTATCAATTATTATAAACTTATTTGGAGGCGATATTTAAATAATGACATAATGCAGTATATTCACAATATTATTTACTTAACTTTTAAGGCTGAAATTGTTTTTGCAATTGCTAGGTTTGCACGTTCTTACCCCTGTTACCTCCTGTTCATTGCATTCATTCATTCAATTTGATTCATTCATTTACATTCTTTCATCTTTCAGTTCGCCGTGTAGTGTGTATGTTTTTTAGTTCTAGTTACTAGTGGTCCTACCATACATTTTCAAATCGTGCAAGAAATCGTGTTTATCGTGTATAACACGTGGTTTTGCTTACATGTATCAATTAACTGATACGTATTCAGGTTTGTGATCGGTAAGAGAGGCTGCGTTATTAAAGACATTGAGAGTCGGTGCGGAGTCAAGATCTCCTTCCCAGAAGACAGTAACCCTGGTAACTGTAACCCTGGTAACTGTAACCCTGGTAACACGTCTCAGATAGTTGAAGTTAAGGGAGACTGTAACGATGATATAACAGAGGCAATAGTAAGTTATTATCAATACCTTGCCTAACATTCCGCTTTATTACACTTCTTATATGTATTTTTGTTGTGTTCAAGACTTTTGATCTTTTCCGACCAGACGATTCCTCTTTCTGGAGTCTGATGAGAACTTTAAACAGGGAGAGCAGTATATGGAACTTAACATGGTTCACTGATGCATCACGTCTTTAATATGCACTTTCTATTAGAGCTTATAAATATCAATTTGACAATATATATATATATATTTTATGTAAAGTAGGCTTACATAAGTAAGTGGTATACAGTTCTTTCATAATATATAATATTACATAGTTTGAGTGATCTGCATAGTAACTTCGATAGCTTAGTCAAGTCGTGTGTTAATCATTGTAACAAGCCACCATGTGCCGAAACACCCGCCAATACTGTTTCATTGTTTTTTGTTCTTTGCTATACAGTTGTTTAGAATCGTGATGTTGCTTTGAAACTAGCAATTTATAAACACTTTTTATAAATACTGTTTATAAGCACTGGCTATTTATAAAGACATCTGGTATCTGATAAAAGTGCCTAGAACATTTTTAGAAAATCGACTTTAAAGATTCAATAAACTGAGTCAGCTATTATAAATTAATGTTATAATATTCAGATATTATTGTTCCTTATTTTTTATTGTTCGATCAGATGAATGTTCATAATTTGTATTAACTGAATGTGAATTTCAGGAGATGGTCCAGGAAGCGTGCCAGCTAAAACCCAAAATACTAACAGAAGACATAGAAATCAGGGCTGAGTACTGCGGTAAGATAATCGGAAAAGGAGGAGAGAATTTGAAGGATATCAGGGAACAGAGTGGTACAAGGATACTTATTAGTAAGGAACCTGTGGAGGGAAACGAGGATATACGACTCTGCTCAATTGAAGGTAAATAAAACCATCATTAAAAACAGGTAAGTAATAATAGCACTCAAAACACATTTAGCTTATCTCAAGCTTTCAAACTCTTCTTAAAACATATTTTAATTACCTTTTTTATTGGAAATAATTGCAAATAAGTTTCTAAAAGTCCCCAGTTAAGGATATAAAAAGATCATAAAATCAAAAAAATGTTGCTAAAACATTAATTATCGAGATGAAATTAACAATATTTTAGGTCATTAGTTCAGTCTGGTTGGTTCCATTGTCTTAACATTACTGCTCTTCTAATATCACATGGTTAATTTTAAGTTATTTGTTCATCATGGGGCCTTGTAACTCTAGTTAGGAGTATTTTCTTCTCCTTGACCCCTAAAGAGAGCTACAAAGTAGTTCCTAATGTGCTGTCTTATCCGCTAATTTCTGGACACTATGACAAGAGGAGACAGAACAGCATTAACAAGAGGAAGCTCAGAGACTGGAGAGCTTCGAACATGCTGTACACCCAATCTGCAGGTTCACTGCAGGTTGTGATGAGGACTTGGATTATGATAGCAGAGATGGAGAGTGTCACAGAGGAATGATAAGACTGCTAGCAGGAACACTGTAGTAGTGTTGATGTGACCCCAGGCTATCAGAATAGTCTCCGTATCTTCTCTAGCTCTGGCACGCTGCCAGCCTGTTATCACTTGTACTACCATACTAACCAAGATAGCGAGGATAGGAAGCAGGTACTGCACAGTTAGCAGGCTGATCTCTATATGTATGCACTAGGCTCAGTTTTAAACCCAGCAGAGATCCAGACAGCCGGGGAACGTGGCCACTGATGCTAGAGAAACTAGCATGAACCAGAAGGAAATGAGGTTGCTGAAGGTCTTTGTGGTGGCTAAGTAAGCTAGGATGTAAATATCGTATACTGTCAGGGATAGAAGCAGCAGGATGTAGGTTTTTCCGTGGGTCCTGGGAATGTCTCTTTAACTGACATGCTAGATATGGTTACCAGGGTTACGGTCACCAAGGTCACAGTTACCAGGGTTACAGGGTAAGATATTGTCTCTACTAGGAAGGATCTAGAAGATAAGTGGGTGCAACAGAATGAAGCCTCAACAACTAGAATAATGATTAATCTCTAGACCAACCAGAAGAGTCCTATTGAAATTTCAAACCAGTACTCAAAATCAGAATTGCAGACACTTTTGGCCTCTTATGTTGTCATTATATTGGCAAATTTTCAGAAAGGGGCAGTTCACTTTTCACGCTCACCTAACCTTCTTAGCACCTTAGGCTTAAATGTGCCAAGAAATGCTCTTCATTGGAAATGCGTCTCAGCATGACACTATAGTTAAAGATTTAAAGGAACTAGAAATGTAGGAAATTAAGTGGCTTTTGAGGTTCAATTCTACTAAATGTTCAGTTATGCATCTAGACTTTAATGATAACCTAAGATCAAGTTATTTTTTCAATGAAGTTATTCTAGAAGAATCTGTACAGGAAAAAGACTTAGGGGTTATAATCCATAATTCCTTGCTTTGGAATGAACAGATTAAAGCTGCAATATCTAAAGCTAACAAGATGATATTATATGTTGGATTTGATTTTTTTTAATTAAATTGATTTCTGATACTCAAAATAGTTGTTGGAAGTGGATCTAGATAAAATACTTAAAGTCACGTAATGGTAGTCAAGTAATGGTAGTCACGTAATGGTAGTCACGTAATGGTAGTCAAGTAATGGTAGTCACGTAATGGTAGTCACGTAATGGTAGTCACGTAATGGTTGTCACGTAATAGTAGTCACGTAATGGTAGTCACGTAATGGTAGTCATGTAATGGTAGTCACGTAATGGTAGTCACGTTAACATAGGTGCAGATTTCGTTTTGAGGTGAACTTTTAAGTTCCCGAGAAATCTTCTTAAGTTTGCTTTTTTTTCTCCTCGGGCACATTCGTAACCTACGGACCAGGTAAACCTAAACTACATATTGAGTATTGACCGTTATGTACGTCGGTATCTACTATCTGTTGAGGAGCCAAATCATCTGAAAAGCCCTAAACCTATATTTTTCTCAGGCACGTAGCCAGGATTTTTCTTTGGGGGGGGGGGGGGGGGCTGTCGGCGAGCGAAGCTGCATACTGTGGCAGGGGTCTGGGGGCGCACCCCCCAGCGGGGTCCAGGGGCGGACCCCATTGGCGGGGGCTCGGGGGCGCACCCCCCCGGAAAAATTTTGCGAAATAGGGTGTTTTAGGCTAAATTGAAAGTTTAATGAATTTACAAAAATGTATGGTTTGGCATATCATTGCCTACAATCCTGACTTGAGTAATTTCCCCCTTTGAGACTTTATTTTGGGTTGAAAATTGAGTTTATCAAGAGGAAGTGAAAAATCTCTGGTTCAAATTTGGATTTGAAGCCATGTTTAATTTTTTCTGCTGAGGTCATTTTTTTGCGCAGAAAGCGCTCGATTTTAGGGGAAAAATGTAAGTTTGCTTTTAATTTTTATGGTCCTGTCGGCACCTGAAATCGACGTAATCTGCAGGGGTGGTCACGTAATGGTAGTCAAGTAATGGTAGTCAAGTAATGGTAGTCACGTAATGGTGCGACAGTCACGCAAACTTTAAGGATTTACATTTCATCATCTGACCACCCCATTTAATTAATATTGCAGAACCAGTGCAGGAATTGAGATGGAAAAATAGAACACCTCAATATTTGGGATAAGAGATCAGTTGCAGTAGGAAAAACTATGGGGGCCGGGGGCTACATCGTGTCTACTCATATTGCTTGTGTTACAGTATAAAGCTAATAAGGTGGTGCTCTGTGAAACAATCACGAGTAGCAGAGTGTAGTAACTGGCTGTATATTGTTGTCTTGTCAATCTGTGTGAATCTCACTAATTGTTTTCAGGTACAAAAGAGGAAATAGAAGTAGCAAAACAGCTGATTGATGGCAACATACTAACTGAGATAGAGATACGAAGAAAAAGAGAACATAGACAGGTAAGGTTCACAAGGTTACAAGGTTCACAAGGTTTGCAAGGTTCAGTGCTGGTTAAAATTGTAATTGTTGCTCGGCAAAATAAGAATTATTGAATTTCAGGAAGTGAAGAATTACCTGTCCAGCACTGTAAACGGCACTTCCTTAGAATCACGTGATGAGAGTGATAAGTCACGTGATAGTCAGAGTGATAAGTCACGTGATAGTCAGAGTGATAGGAGTGAGGAAGATGACAAATGCTCACATAAGAGTTACCCACTCCAAGACTCGTCAGTAGTGGCAGTGGAAGTGGCTCCTAGCCCTGAACCACAGCTTATATCTGAGTTTCTAGAAGAGGACCTGACAAGTGATGCGGTACCTAGCCCTGAAGAGTGTTTTGAAGAGGACCTGCCTACTGTGGTATGTGAGGAGATAACAGCTACAGAAGCAACAGACCTGTCTATGTTAGAACCTAGAGCTAGTTCGGGGTTTAGTCTGCAAATGTCCTCAGAATCACTGGTGCCAGAATCTGTGTTCGATAAAATCAGAACTGATTTGAGAATTGATGAGGACGTGGAAACGGTAAATATTACTACTGAACATGGATTAAAATTAGGAAAACTAGGAATAACTCCCTTTACCGAGCCTCTGCTTCAACTAAAGTAATATTATCTAGTGATTCAGTGAAGTTCTTTACACTTGCCTTGGGTGCACTTGCCTTAGGTGCCTTGTTTACACTTGCCTTGGGTGGAGCTCCTGAATCAATCTTTCAGATTAATCCATGATCAGGGGTAATATTTACCATTTAATCCACGATCAGGGGATATATATTATTACCCCAACTAAATAGATATGTGTTTCAGGTATATTTAAAGGACCAGAGAGACTTTGATCCGAACATAATGCTTGACAGTGTCTGTCTACCTCCGCTATCTCCAATTCAATCAGTAAACGAGGAAATTGGTGAGACACTTATTTACAACTGTCAAAACTGTGATTGGCAACTAGATTGAATTCGTATTTGTAGTATGTATTTGAAATTCATGAACAGTCTATGTGATTGTAAAGTTCACTAACATGACCACCTAGATTCCGAGAGCCAGGTTACAGTAATCGCCAGCTCCCTCTCTTCCAACATCTCTAACCTCGCTACTAACGGGGGGTCTACTTGTAGCTCTACTAGCTCTCTCACTAGCAACCTAGTTAACGAACAGATGACACTTAACCTCAAGTCAATGCTAGGGATTAACAAGAACGGCCACGGGTGAGTTAGATTTGGGTTACACTTGAGCATGGGATTACGTCATGATTACGTCATGGAAACTGTAGCCGGTCATGTCTGTAGTTTATGTTCTGTGGGGTATACTCTAAGTTGTCTAGTTTCACGCTCTGGTAATAACTGTTTAAGTACCTGAAGTACGTATGTGAACTAGTACTTGTAGTTAGTAGTAGTACTAGTAAGTACTGTGTCTATTTGCTGTATTACTTTACAGGGAGCTTGTGCATGATGAGCCCGGTACATTACTACCTGATACATTACTTGATAAAGCCTTGTTTGAATGCTCTGTCTACTCTTACAATCACGGTACACATCTTCATTTCTTCAGAACTACACTTTATCTACACTATCTACCTTATCTTATCCACTTTTTATCAGTTCAGAGCTATCTACTATGTTATCTCCTTCTTAATGGCCTTCTATATAAATTCAACCACCTTGATCAAATATTTTATCGACTCAAGCACCTTCATTACAGCCTTCGCTTAGCGTAGCTTGCTTTAAGCTTGCACTAAAAGCCTGCACTCAGCTAAGCCCACACTAAGCTTACACTTTGCAGTCTGCAGCACTAAGCCTTGCAGTCTGTACTAAGCCTAGATTAATTTGAATTTGTCCCAGGTAGTGTAGATATGAGAGTGGAGTGGGAGGAGTTTGAGGGAGTGATCACGTGTGCAAAGTGCTGCAGTCACGTGTGGATAGTCAACAGACAGTCCAACTGCCTACCCATCATCAACAACATGTTATCAGAGTACAGCCAACTCTCTCCACTACACTCTGTCAAGATGGTTAGCATTTTACTGTCTTTAACAGGCAATTTATTAAATGAATGGTCTTTCTTTCCGTTAAAAATTAAGCCGTTCTAATCTATTTTAAATTTGCAAAAAGTAATCGACCCCGAAGGGACTCGAACCCCCAATCTTCTGATTCGAAGTCAGACACCTTAGCCATTAGGCCACGAGGCCGATATGCTGTCTAAAAGTATTGACTTATTATACATATATATGGACATATCAGCGCATCAAGGCATCTTAGTCGACTGGAAATTTGTTTACTATTTATGCATATAACAATACCTGAAGCCCAATTGATATAATCTCCGTTTAACTCTAGCTTTCAGCCGTGCGAATATATTAAATTCACCAAATATACTCAGATGAATAGCACTTCAATTATACATTAGTGCTACTGCTATTCATTTACAAATCATATTCTTTGTAATATAAATCGTTTAGAAAATCCTCTCCATTGATCATCTTAAACCAAAAATAAACATTCTCACAAGTCTCTGCTAGGAATGTGGACATGCCTTATTTCTAGGGAAACCCAGCTAAGTAATAGTTTGTGTTAATTCCAAGTTAACTTTATAAAATTGGCCTATACGAGAAGAGAAAGTCTAACGAAGGATTGGTCGAAATTATGACGTTTTATTCATCAAATATATATTATTTGATCTAAATGGTTTCCATAAAAGCGATCTATGATCTTTCTGCTAATTATGTCTGTTCCTTATGTCTTTTGTGTAAGTGATATCTAGGGTGCCGCATAGCAGGGTAGCGGGGGCGGTGGTGTACAACTTACACCACTGCTTTAACGCTCAGTCACCTACTTCTTAGCTGATTTTGCCATCATGGCCCTGGTACCTTGAAACAGTCACGCGAAATTGCGAAACGCATCTGCACACACGGGTCGATAACGTTGCGCGCGAACGACGTATTACATTTTGTAGTCACAAAACTCTTCGGTCAAAATTTCGATCGCGCGCGCGTTCGAAAATTTTCAGCTTTCGTGCACGTGATTGCATATCGCGGATCTTACCGCATTTTATCTGTTGATGACATTGAAGAAATCCAACCTCTTTCGTTCGAAAAGTTGAAAATATGAGAATTATTTGTTTATTTCATATCGATGAACCGTTAAGTTGGTCGTGATATGGTACATAAAAGTCGGCGTGACTAACTTCGGCTCCAAATATGCTTAGCTGAGTTCAGATATCTCATTATCTTGAGGACAGTAATTTAATTCTCCTTTAACTTGACGTCGCAATAAAGATTGGATTAATTTGATCCAAATTCCAAACCAACTACTCAAACATCGCGACTACTATGTGTTTATTTATTGGTGCAGCACGAATACGATATTGTAAGTTAATAGTAATACTGTAATAGTTTAAGTAAGTTGTTTACCAGCGGTTATTAATATGGGGTGGTGGAGGAATGATAACTTCAAATCTTCAATGTATAAGATTTTCCCAAAACAGCCAACAATCCTTACTAAAAATGTTGTATATTATGCCCTTAAAAAGGTCAGGCCTTCTAAAAATTTCCTCTTTGGCACCATATTTCCTTCAAAACCGAAAATTTCCTCGCAGATTATCTGCTGGTTGCCCGGTCTGCCTCCTATCTGTCGGAACAGTTCTTATAACGGGGGGGGGGGGGGGGGGGATCCACCCCCCCCCCCCCTTATAACAACAAGTCAACTCTCCGTTTTCAACTAACTCACATTTGCAAGATATTACACTAACTGATAACTATAAATAAGTATTAAGTAATCGCATGAACTAATACAATAACATGCATGCTAGTTGCTTGACTGTCGAACAAATTAATACGATGACTTAATTGGAATGGGAGTGACTACAACACGTATAATTTCAGAATCGATTGTATCTGTTTATGGACCAATCCACGGGGACGAATTGCCGAATAATCACCCTACAGTCTATATCTAAAACTCTGGTAGAGTGTTACGATGTGGACACAGGAGTTGTGTTTGCAGTTCCTAGAAAGTGTTTGACGGAGCTGCCCGAGGACCTGGCTGGACTGCCCCCTGCTGGTTAGTTACTATTGACTTACTGTTGCCGTTATTGGGTGGGCGTGAGTTATAAGGGGGTGGGTGTGAGTTATAAGTGGGTGGGTGTGAGTTATAAGTGGGTGGGTGTGAGTTATAAGTGGGTGGGTGTGGGTTATAAGTGGGTGGGTGTGGGTTATAAGTGGGTGGGTGTGGGTTATAAGTGGGTGGGTGTGGGTTATAAGTGGGTGGGTGTGGGTTATAAGTGGGTGGGTGTGAGTTATAAGTGGGTGGTATGAGTGGGTGGGTGTGAGTTATAAGTGGGTGGGTGTGGGTTATAAGTGGGTGCTGGAATAGTTGAGGGTAAAATAAGGAGGAGGGTCTGCCAAACGATCAAGAATTTTCTTAGGATACCCCTTCAGTATCATACAATATATCACACTTTTGAAACAAAGCATTATAATACTATCATGTATCAGAGCATGCTCGAATAGTTTACAGAATTAATGTTTTATCCACCGCCAGTTTTACCGGAAAACCTAGCAGTAGCAATGTTGCCATATAGAGACATTGTTTCACCATGCTAAACTCGTACCACATGCGGATCGCACACCGCAGCAAGGCTCAGCACTCCACTTACTTACTGTAGTTTAGTGGTCACATGTCCGCTAGCTCTTATTAAAACGTAACGTTAATAACCTTATATTAATACTTACTTACTTACTTTATGTTAATAACGTTAGTTTATGGTTAGTATTGTTAATTAATTATGGCTAGTATTGTCTTAGAATAATTGTCGTGCGATTTCGTAGCCTTAAACGAAAACATTTAACAATTTTGTAGCCTTTCACCTGAGATTAAAATATCATTAATTTTAAATGATTTTATATAAGAATGTATTTAAAATTCCTGTGGACGCCATTGGCAACGTATCGCATAATAGATTAGTGGAGGGGATTTTGTAAAAGGGAACCAGTTAAAATATAATTTGATGACAATGCACAATGGTTAGTGTTATGTAATATATGACTCTATGCATGGTTAGTTAAGCGTGTGGCCCAACAAGCTATTACTACTAATACTACTCAAGTCTTCCTTTTCTCATGTTGTTTAATGGGGACAACGCTTACTCACCTGCTCCTTTATAATAAACTCAATTGTTTCCCGACTATTAAACCGAAAATATCTGATTTACAGCCCTTCTCATTATATATATATTATTAAAACTCGTACTTGCCAAAATCTTTTTGTTGTACTTAAAACTGTAGAGCGCGTAACGGATAATACAGCGCACACACAATCACTCTCTTTAAATCCTGCTTTCCAGTTCACGCTGCATGTGGAGCACTTTGTTTAACAGGTGTGTGAGGAGTCGGAGGAGCAGATATATGTGAATACCTGTAACTCACTGTGTGCACTGTTGCACTGCTTGTTACACACTCTTTTAACCTTCCCGCCCTCGCTTACACTATTATCCCCCGGCTCATAATAAAACATTATATTCGTGTGCTTGATTTTAGTTTGCTGTCATCTCGTGAGAGTACTACTGCGTGAGTTATATCTAGATAGGCTCAATCTACCTCAGTTAGGCAAGTTTTCTTACCTGAGCTGTTCACATTTTGGTTTTGTCACCGCTTGTTTCTTTGTTCGATTACAGGACCTACTATTATTAGTTCTGCCTAGACCTATCTGCTAAAATCAAGCATGGGTAAATACACTGTATAAACACTGTAGTAAGCTACCAACAGTAGTAAGCTACTAACAGTGGTAAGCTACCGACAGTAGTAAGCTACCAACAGTAGTAAGCTACCGACAGTAGTAAGCTACCGACAGTAGTAAGCTACCGACAGTAGTAAGCTACTAAAAGTAGTAAGCTACTAACAGTAGTAAGCTACTAACAGTAGTAAGCTACCAACAGTAGTAAGCTACCTACAGAAGTAAGCTACCGACAGTAGTAAGCTACCGACAGTAGTAAGCTACTAACAGTGGTAAGCTACCGACAGTAGTAAGCTACCAACAGTAGTAAGCTACCGACAGTAGTAAGCTACCGACAGTAGTAAGCTACCGACAGTAGTAAGCTACTAACAGTAGTAAGCTACTAACAGTAGTAAGCTACCGACAGTAGTAACTACTAACAGTAGTAAGCTACCGACAGTAGTAAGCTACTATTACAACTGTTTATTCTTTATGTTATTGTGCTTTTGCCACGCATATCCTCAGTTTTTACACGTGTATTTTCAGCTGTGTGTGTGAGTATTGGAGCTAGTGGCTGTGGAAACGTGGCAAGTTCTGAGCTGATAGGAAAAGTAGTTACCGTCACCCCTCGAGACATGGGCGCTAACAAGGAAATCAAGTACCCACGGGTCAAGATACACCGGGACCAGGTGAGATCTGCTCTGGATCTACTGCTAACTTGTTATTATCATTGAGTTTCTCAAACTGCAAATATTTGACTTGCATCAACCATGACTAACTAAACTAAACTAAAACACTAAACATCTAACCAGTAGTCAGGGGGGGGGGGGGCTAGGGGGCCAGGTGAGATCTGCTCTGGATCTACTGCTAACTTGTTATTATCTTAGAGTTTCTCAAACTGCAAATATTTGACTTGCATCAACCATGACTAACTAAACTAAACTAAAACACTAAACATCTAACCAGTAGTCAGGGGGGGGGGGGGGGCTAGGGGGCCAGGTGAGATCTGCTCTGGATCTACTGCTAACTTGTTATTATCTTAGAGTTTCTCAAACTGCAAATATTTGACTTGCATCAACCATGACGCCCCTCTAACTTTTAGGAGGTTCTTTCATCGGAATTTCTGGTTAACATAAATATTGAATATTTCTCTGTTATGCAAGGTACTTACTCACTGAAAGAATGTTAGTCTAGATTTGCTTTTGTGCGATCACGGTTACTACACTCTGCTGTATAGGTCAGCATACTCAACATAGTAAAGGTTAAAGGTGTTAGGTACTCAAGTAGGAGTTGTAGTGGATAGCCAAGTAGGCGTCAAATATTTCAATAACATACCCTGAATAACCCTTTTGACCAATAATGTTGAGAGTATTTTCTAGGAATAACTGCATCTCAGATTATTTACAACAAATCCCTCTCAGATTATTTACAACAAATCCCTCTCAGATTATTAACAACAAATCCCTCTCAGATTGTTTACAACAATTACCGGCCCTACGTTTCGTCACCTAAACCTACTGAGGCTGTCTCACTTCCCAATGGTTCTTCTTTAGTGTACGTCTCAGCTATTCATAACGCCGGCCACTTCTATGTTCAGGTGAATCAACTATTCACAACTGCTTAACATAGGTTTATATTCACTATTCAGGAATGTGTTGTTTTTAATCAATAGTCTTATATAATGATTCCCTTAGTCTTGCCTCACTAAGATGACATATTGATTTTGTTCAAATAGGGGTGGAGGATTTGAACGTTTTCCCCAGGAATACGTTAGTTATTGGATAGTTGGTACAAGGTAACACTGTCATTACCCACATTAAATACCATGTGTCTGGCGGAAGACTTATTACCTCTCGACTTGTCAGTGTTAACAGTGTTAAGTCCGCACACTGACGTACAGTAAGTGGAGATAACTTCTAACTTCTCTTTTTAACCCCTGGTATGTTGTACAGGCGTGTGGTAAGAACATATCAGAGCTGGACCGGTTAGAATCAGCTATGGCACAGCACTACGGATCAGTGGAGACTCTTCCTCAGTATTCCTGGGATCCTGTCCCTGGACAGGTTAGATACCATTACCATGGTTACTATGGTTACTAGATCCCATTGCCATGGTTATTGGTTAACCCATAATTACCCTTAAATACTGTTCTGCAACCAGATCAATATAAGATCGACAAACATTGAGTTTCTCATAATTTATATTTCCTTTTTGTGACACTGTTCAGATTACCTGTCCTTCATTATAATTCCACTAATAATTATACGAGTGATTGTTACAATGTTAATACTAGTGTGCCTGATAGTAGTGGTACAGTAGTGGCTTTACCGTATACCATGCGTGATATATCGCATACCATGCGTGATATCTCGTGTTTTCGTGTGAAATGATTGACTGAAATTGAAACTGTTTAACAGCTGCCATTACCCACGTGATATGTTCATTACCAATACCACGTGTTCAGATGTGCGGAGTTTGGCACACTTCGGAGCAGATCTGGCTGAGAGGACAGATCAAAGAGTTGGACAACTCCGACATGCTCTACATTAAATACATGGACTATGGGGACACTGTCCATCTCCCTCACTCTCACACGCGCAAACTCAGGTTTCTAACCCTCCTTTTTACTGGTTGTAACCTTAAGGCTAACTAGGATTATTTAATTGGGAGCCTGAATTGTAAATGTGACTGAGTTGTGTTCCTGTCTGATCAGGTATGTATTACCATGTGATTGTGCGTCAAGTTTGAATTCCATTTAGTAGTAGAAGTAGTACCTCCTTAAGTGTATAGTAGTAGTAAGTACCTTCGTAAGTGCATTGCCGCAAGTTCTTCATTACGAGTGGCCGGAATAAAAACACGAGCTCACTCCGCAAGCGTTTCTGAAGAACTAATTACTGAGTACAGTGCTTGACACTATCCGGCAGTCGGCACTGCATTATGCTTGCCCGAGAGACGTGTAACAGTAAGCTGCTCCTTCGGCAAAACATGTATAATTCACGCTTGTTCGGGATTAAGGGAGCAGATATTATTGGTAGTTAATGACAGCATGTACAGGATCCTACTTAGTTTCGAGCTAATATGTGTCGGAGTGGGATGGTTATTATCGGTCATGATGGATCCAGAGAATATTTGGACGTGAGGAACTTGGCTGTAAATGTTACTGATGTGAATTAGAGTTGGCACGAATTTGAGAAGATTCTTTATATATTTAGCATTAGTAGTAGTAGTAATATATAATATATTATGTGGATCATATTCTTAATGTTGCCAGATATTTAGGGAGTATTTTAGGTGGTGACTCAAATGGAGACAGTAATTTTACTAATATGCACATAGCAGTCATCTAAAATGCACATGATATAGGCTTTAAAATCAAAATTTTAACTGATCAATCGGACAGTTATAATATTTTGGTAGTGATGTAAAACATTCTTCCTTATCTCAGATCGAATATCTTAAAGAAGGAAAAGAGATCGTATATTATCTTTTAATCACAAAACAGTATGACAGAAAATAAATATTCCTTCGGTTTCATTGGAGCATCATTCTCTGATCTCCATCTCTCCTCTTTACTCCTTACTCTTCCCTTACTCTTCCCTTACTCCCTACTCCTTACTCCTCACTCCTTACTCGTTATCTTAGGTTCTGATTGTTCGTCTCGGCATGACATACTCCTGAGTACGCTTACCCCCGCCTAGTCATTTGTCTGTGACTATGAGTCCTATTGCAGTACCAATAAACCCAGTCCCTATAGCCGCGTACAAGTTCGGCATCTCATCAAAAACAAGGACCTGGTAAGCGAAGCTGAAGACAATACTAACATTCCTCACTGTGGCTACAATAGAGCTATCACAGATCTGTGTGCCCTTGGTCGCAAAACTCTGACAAATGAACATGAGAACTCCAATACTAAGACAAATAGCCAGTAAGAAGTTATCGTCTATTCTCAGAAAGAACATCTCAGAAAGCAGATAGTCTCCCATGAGGAAGGAGTAGAGTATACCTAGGAGTATGAGTATAGTGAATATAGACAGTCCGTATACACTGTGATAGAATATAACCACGCTGCTCTCCACCTCACTCCCCAGTTTCCGGACCATAATGGAGGACATGGCTCTGAACAGACCGTGTCCCACCCCAGCTCCTAGTCCGTAAAGTCGTGCGGTTGAGAAGGTATTTTCCATGATGATATCCTCCGGGTTAGCCAGCAGAAAGACTCCAATTAGTCCGAGTATTAGAGCTACGTAGATCTTACAGGTTAGGGGTTCCTTGAGGAATACAGCAGCCATCAGCACCATGAACAGGGACATGCTGAAGAACATGACCACAGTCGCCTCCCCGACCGGAAGGTACATCACAGCAAACAGTACCAGAGACATGGCTATGTTCTCAAAACAGGATCTGATGAACAGGTAGAGGAGTCGTCCCTCCGTGTCTATGTTCTGTCTGGTGTAGATCATTGTGGAACCCACTAGGATGAACATTACGAGGAACTTGAACCAGAGGACTTGTAGAACTGGAACTACCTGCAGGTGATGATGGGTTATCATAGTTACCACCTAGTTACCACCTAGTTACCACCTGGTTACCACCTAGTTACCATATAGTTACCACCTAGTTACCACCTAGTTACCATGGAGACCACTCCGAGAATATTTGTTACTGTAGTTTTGTTCCAGTGGGATTTTTAAAATTGATCGAGAAGTTAATTAGTTCATTAATTAATTATTAATTAATCGCGGACCTGTTCAGCTAGTTTGATGCTGACACTGGCAGAGGAGCTGAACAGAGCTCCGACCACTGTGAACAAAATCCCCTTCCTACGATTAGTGAACCAGCCATCCTTCTCCTGAGGAGGTCGTGTGTTAGTAGTAGTAGTTGTTGTTTATCTTATGTAGTTATGAACAGGGCCAGATTAAGTGTTTTCGAGGAGTTAATGTAAGTACAAACTAAAGAAACAGAACGAAAATATGTTGCCCTCTTAGAATTTGTTCCAATCGTTAGAAGATGTTCGCACCTTTTTGAGGATGTCAATATCGTCATCGTCATCACTGAAGTGTGTGAGAATATAGGTGGTAGTGTCCTTTACCATGCTTTTAGCTGAGCCCTGTGCTGTGTATTTGTTGTTTGACAGCTGTTGCTTTATATAAACACCATTAATTATTAATTTGACAATATATCGTGCTGAATTTAAAATAAATCTCAAATTCTTCAAGTTTTCGATATTGATAAACTTGCTAATTCTAGCAGGGAGGTTTTATCAAATTATTAACATCTCTCGTTAACATGATGAGCATTGAGCAACATATTTAGGTACACTCCTTAAAGTGGATATAACGGCGACAAACAACATGCATCATAAGGATCAGCAGCGAACATAATATGTTGATAAGTTCCTAAGAAATCACGAATTCTCGAAATATTTCAATATTTATCAAGAATAGTTACGTCAGGATAGGCAGATAATCCTGCAGCAATTAAAAGGATCAGCCATTTAATTATCTTTATAAGTTCGTAAGAAATCTCCAATTCTTCAAACTTTCGATATCGATTTTTAAAAAGAGTTACGTCAGGGAAGCTGGATGATAGAGCGGAAGTTATAAGAATAGGAGGACAGTGTTACAATGTTACAGTGTTACAATGTTAAAGTCTTACATAAATTAATTTTTAAGAATTTAAAGAATCAGTGTTTAATGTTTACACAAATTATAAAATCAATAGAAACACAGTACAGCATAGTACGTATAAAGTTAGCTAAATCCTACTAAATGTTTGTGTTTTGCGTGGGCACAAGCTTACAGTAAACACTTATTCTGCCTAAAATTATAATACAATGTAGCTAGACTTTATTACAGAGAGGATTGTGCATGTGCAACAGAGGATTGAGCACGTGCAACAGAGGATTGTGCATGTGCAACAGAGCAGGAGGTGACCGGGATTGGAAATTTTGAGCTATCCCGGTCCCGGTCCCGGTCAAATGCTGATTTATTTATTTATGATCCCGGTCCCGGTACCGGTTAATTCGGGATTCTTGGTCCCGGTCCCGGTCCCGGTCCCGGTCAATCACTCAAATTTGCCGGGATTTTGACCGGGATCTTTTACATAATTTCATTCACTGTGATTTTAAGTTTTTCCTTTCATTCATTGTGAATTTCATCTTTAAACATCCTCTGAGCCAAATACAACAATGTTTAAAATTGCTAAACAAGTTTGAGTAATAAATTATGATCATGAATTAACCAGTAATCGACCGGAATTCCCGGTACCAGGAATCCCGGTACCGGGATTGGCAATTTTGAGCTATCCCGGTCCCGGTCCCGGTCCCGGTCAAGTCACATTTTTCATCCCGGTCCCGGTCCCGGTAAATTGATAATCTCTGTCCCGGTCCCGGTCAAGTCACATTTTGTATCCCGGTCCCGGTCCCGGTCAGGCCTGAAATCATGTCCCGCCGGTCACCTCCTGCAACAGAGGATTGTGCACGTGCAACAGAGGATTGAGCACGTGCAACAGAGGATTGTGCACGTGCAACAGAGGATTGTGCACGTGCAACAGAGGATTGTGCACGTGCAACAGAGGATTGAGCACGTGCAACAGAGGATTGAGCACGTGCCAAATAGTCAAATACTCTTTACGCTAACACCAGACACCTTTAAATATTATATTATATGCAGGAAACGTAACCTAGGTGTTAGAGTAGGGTGCAGGTGGTGTATTACAAAGTACGGAATTTTTCTTCTTTTTACCTTGGTAACATGCAGTAGTGTAGTGAAAGGAGGGATCAAAACAGTTCTGTAGTTATGTTTAATAGTTATCATCCCCCTGTAGATATTATCATGTTATATTATAATGTTGCTCCGTGGGAACACTTAGGCCACTCTAACGTTTATCTACCTCAGGGCAGAGTTTATGGAGTTACCCTACCAAGCTATAGAATGCTTCCTTGCAAACACCATCCCTATCAGTAAGTTGCAATTCTCGCGAACCTGAAAATGAAAACCTTAAATAGATTTCCTATCAATCAATATTCTTATATAACTACTGCTCCCCCCCCCCCCTCTAATATCTCCCTCCGCAGCGACCAGACAGTGGACCCCGGACGCTACAGCCAAGTTCGATGCCTTGACCCAATGTGGACAGTGGTACCCGCTAAGATGTGTGGTAGTGGGTGAGAGACACGGTAAACCCTGTGTGGAGTTGTATGATCAGCCCTACAGGTGAGAACGGACTTGCCACCCAGGCCCATGGAAACATTAAATATGTTGATTCTGATTCAAAATTTCTGGTCATTCTGTTTTTGCGACAAGTGAATATATATTGTGAAATTAGCTATATCATTGAAATTTATTTCACAATTATGTTTTAATTTATTTCCATAAAAAGCTAAATTTCACTTTACCAGTGATAAGGAGTACAGTGTGGGTGAGTGTTTGTGTACAATGGACTACGCTCGGAGTAGCAAGATGGAGATACCTGCAGTACAGACCCTCTCCACTCCCATCCCTTCCTTCGCTTCCGGTTTGTTTATTTAATTTTTAATTATTTTAATTTACAATTTTTAATTATTTTATTTTCAAATATTTTTATAGCGATCATTATCGTCTTAGCCAAAGAAATTTAAGCAATTTCGGTGGCAAAAGTAAGAAAGTTATCTCATAATTTCACCCTTCAAATTGGCATTCTTATGGCAACCATTTTTCGAGATTTTAACAACAACCTGGTCCAGGTGCGGCTTATCTAGTTTCCCCTGATTTTGATGACGTTGACGACGAACTAGAAGAACTGTTTGCCTGTGATGATGACAGTGACAGCGCTGACAGTGATGATTTTCCTGTTTCCCGGGAAAACGTCTCCAACCTCCTACTCTCCCTAGGCAACCAAGTAAGCAGGCTACCTCCATCTACTGCCAATACAATATACATCAGATCACCCCAAAAATAACACCGAAATCCACCAGATTACCCTCCAAAATAACAATAAATTTCCTCAGATTACTCCCCAAAGTACACAGTGCAAGAAGAACAACCCCAAATACAGACCTCAGACTTGCGGACAAGCCAAGAATAACGCCTTCATGGAGCGACGGGAATCCACCGACTCCAACAATAATCCTTCAGAACAGGTACTATATAAAAATAGGTCTTATTTCCTTCTTCTTTGCTCTCTTTAAGTTTCTGTATTTATTGTAAAATTGCTAATACTAATAGTAATAAGGTGAATAGTTGCCTAGATAACAACCGTGTGAGGTTACCTTTACCTTGCTGGCCCTGCCTACCTTGCTGGCACACACAACAAACTTTATCACGAGTCTTCCAGCGACGTGAAAATAATAAAATAGACACATTACTTTACTTTTAATGGTAGAAATAATGGTAAACCCGCATCGTGTACCTGTTACCGATGATAGCCCAATATTCGCAGTTATAATTAAATCTCAACACTATTACAGATAATTTATCGCAATTATTCACTATATTCGGGATAGTAAGCGATGTCGCTCATTAAACCTTACTAGTTACATACTAGTAACTAACTACTATTATAACAGCCTGGAATTGTGGGGTCGCATTGAACAGGCGCACCGTACATATTAGGGGATACCAGATAAAAATACTGGAACTATGATTGTGACAGAATAGTTGTAATTAGTAACAATGAAGTTTGCAAATACCTTGTATAATTGGAAGCGTCTGAGAATTTTTAGAAATATTAATAGATAAATTCAGTCTTAGTAAAATTTTGTAGCGCTACCCTTACTAACCCTTAATGTTCATGTATTTTAGAAACCCCACTTATATTAGTTATAGAGTTAGTTGGCAACTATTGTACTTCCCAGCCGCTCTGAAACCATCATTTTCATCAACCGCTTCAAAGTGTATAACCGCAAAATGTTTGACACATTTTTATATGAAGCAAGACGTGCAACATAATATGCTTCTTCATAAATGTGTAACAAGTCACAAGTGTAAATTGAATAAAGTTTAAATTAAATACAATAAGAATTTAAAATACGTACAATAGAGTTTAAAAGTACAACAAAGTTTAATAATAAATTTGCATAACTGTTAAGAAAAGCTAATTGATGAGACAGAATTTACGGAGAGTGTAGTGTTTAACTGTCTCGTTTTACAGACGACCCCACAACCACAGAGGAAGAACCGGTTCAGTACACAAGAAAGCAGTTCCACATCCGACTCAGATAACATCTCAGAATCTGATCAGGTTCGTCTTAATGAAGACTTGGGTGTTGGGTGGGGGTGGAGGTAACATTTAACTGAACAATTGGTTGGGGGGGGGGGGGTAACATCTAACTGAACAATTGGTTGGGGGGGTAACATTTAACTGAACAATTGGTTGGGGGTGGGTAACATTTAACTGAACAATTGGTTGGGGGGGGGGGGTAACATTTAACTGAACAATTGGTTGGGGGGGGCCGGGGGGTAACATTTAACTGAACAATTGGTTGGGGGGGGTAACATCTGTTATTTGGAAAGGAATATTAGTAAAGAAATTAGAATAACATTATTATATTGGAAATTCAAAATGTTCCCAAATCGTAGTTATGGAGACCATTATGTAATGCAACTTTGCTCTCGTGATTTATCAAAAGATCTGGAACATAGCATTGAGGAATGCTATTCCGTTTTTACGGATAATAAGTATTATTTTCACTTCAAATAGGTCGCCGACATAGTTCGTCAACACAGACACAGACACACACTTGACACTGAAATCCCAAATTAGATCCTTATGTTAAAATGAGTATTAGCAGTACTGTAGTTCTGTATTGGGATTGCTGTAGCGCTAGATAGCTAGTCGTTAGTATTTAAACTTCAACTTGTTAATTAATTTGTAACAGCACTCAGTTAGGTCTGATATGTTGAGGGAGGAATTGTGCTAATTTGATCCAGAAGACTATTACTGGGGGGGGTGTCACGTCCGTCTATGTCCGCTTGTCTCATAGAATCCAAAAAGGACAGGACATAGGCGGACATAGGCGGACATAGGCGGACATATGCGGACATAGGCGGACATAGACGGACATAGGCGGACATTGGTGGACATAGACGGACATTAATGGACACCTAAATTGCTAAATAAAATGTTCAATTTTTGCTGTTATAGGAGGATCATGTTTTTTTGTCCGTTCGGTACCCTATATTTTCAAAACGGACAAAAAATAGAGCGGACAAAAACGGACAAAAATGGACAAAAACGGACAAAAATGGAAATAACATTTAGATGCTTCCTCCTCCTACTCTTCCTCCTCCTCCCCCTGGGTCTTCCTGATCTTCCCCAGTCCTCTTCCTCCTCCCCTCTTTAGTCCTCTTACTCTCCTCCTCGTCCTCAGTCCCTCTCATCAGTCCTCAACAGTCCTCCTCCCCAGTCCTCCTCCTCCTCTTCATCCTCCTCCTCTTCCTCCCTCAGTCCTCAGTCCTCCTCAGTCCTCCTCCACATCCTTCTCCTCAGTCCTCCATCCTCCTCCTGAGTCCTCCTCCTGGGTCCCTCTTCCTGGGTCCTCCAACTCCTCTTCATCCTCCTCCTCTTCCTCCTCAGTCCTCAGTCCTTCTCAGTCCTCCTCCTCATCCTTCTCCTCAGTCCTCCGTCCTCCTCCTCAGTCCTCCCCCAGTCCCTCTCCTCCTCCTCCTATTCAGTCCTCCTCCTCCTCAGTCCTCCTCAGTCCTCCTCCTCCTCCTCCTGAGTCCTCCTCCTCCTCCTCTTCCCTCTCAGTCATCCTCCTCAGTCCTCCTCCTCAGTCCTCCTCCTCCTGGGTCCTCCTCCTCCTCTTCATCCTCCTCCTCTTCATCCTCGGTCCTCAGTCCTCCTCCTCATCCTTCTCATCAGTCCTCCTACTCCTCAGTCCTTTCCCAGTCCCCCTCCTTCTCCTCCTCCTATTCAGTCCTCCTCCTCCTCCTCAGTTCTCCTCAGTCCTCCTTCTCATTTCTCCTAAGTCCTCCTCCTGAGTCCTCTTCCTCCTGAGTCCTCCTCCTGAGTCCTCCTCCTCCCTCTCAGTCATCCTCCTCAGTCATCCTCCTCAGCCATCCTCCTCAGCCATCCTCCTCAGCCATCCTCCTCAGTCATCCTCCTCAGTCCTCCTCCTCAGTCATCGTCAGTCATCCTCCTCAGTCCTCCTGGTCCTCCTCCTCCTCCTCCCTGGGTCCTCCTCCTCCTCCTCCTCCTGGGTCCTCCTCCTGGGTCTTCCTGATCCTCCTCAGTCCTCTTCCTCCTCCCCTCCTCAGTCCTCCTCCTACTCCTCATCCTCGTCCTCAGTTCTCCTCATCAGTCCTCACAGTCCTCCTCCCCAGTCCTCCTCCTCCTCCTGGGGCCTTTTCCTGGGTCCTCCTCCTGAGTCCTCCTCCTCCTGGGTCCTCCTCCTCCTGGGTCCTCCTTCTCCTCAGTCCTTCTCCTCCTCCTCAGTCCTCTTCCTCCTCTTCCTCCTCCTCCCCCGCATCCATCCTCCTCAGCCATCCTCCTCAGTCCTCCTCCTTCTCATTCCTCCTGAGTCCTCCTCCTCCTGAGTCATCCTCCTCAGTTCTCCTCCTCCTCCTAGGTCCTCCTTCTGGGTCCTCCTCCTCCTCCTCCTGGGTCTTCCTGATCCTCCTCCTCCCTCTCAGTCATCCTCCTCAGTCATCCTCCTCAGTCATCCTCCTCAGTCATCCTCCTCAGTCATCCTCCTCAACCATCCTCTTCAGTACTCTTCAGTACTCTTCAGTCCTCCTCCGTCTCAGTCCTCCTCAGTCCTCCTCCTGCGTCCTCCTCCTGAGTCATCCTCCTGAGTCCTCCTCCTCCTCCTCCTGGGTCCTTTCCCAGTCCCCCTCCTTATCCTCCTATTCAGTCCTCCTCCTCCTCCTTCTCCTCAGTTCTCCTCAGTCCCTCCTTCTCATTTCTCCTAAGTCCTCCTCCTGAGTCCTCTTCCTCCAGAGTCCTCCTCCTGAGTCCTCCTCCTCCCTCTCAGTCATCCTCCTCAGTGCAGTCATCCTCCTCAGCCATCCTCCTCAGCCATCCTCCTCAGTCATCCTCCTCAGTCCTCCTCCTCAGTCATCGTCAGTCCTCTTCCTCAGTCCTCCTGGGTCCTTCTCCTCCTCCTCCTGGGACCTCCTCCTCCTCCTCCTCCTGGGTCCTCCTCCTGGGTCTTCCTGATCCTCCCCAGTCCTCTTCCTCCTCCCCTCCTCAGTCCTCCTCCTACTCCTCCTCCTCGTCCTCAGTTCTCCTCATCAGTCCTCAACAGTCCTCCTCCCCAGTCCTCCTCCTCCTCCTGGGCCTTTTCCTGGGTCCTCCTCCTGGGTCCTTCTCCTCCTGGGTCCTCCTCCTCCTGGGTCCTCCTTCTCCTCCTGGGTCCTTCTCCTCCTCCTCCTCAGTCCTCTTCCTCCTCTTCCTCCTCCTCCCTCTCAGTCATTCTCCTAAGCCATCTTCCTCAGTCCTCCTCCTTCTCATTCCTCCTGAGTCCTCCTCCTGAGTCCTCCTCCTCCTGAGTCATCCTCCTCAGTTCTCCTCCTCCTCCCTAGGTCCTCCTTCTGGTCCTCCTCCCTCCTGGGTCTTCCTGATCCTCTCCTCCCTCTCAGTCAATCCTCCTCAGTCATCCTCCTCAGCCATCCTCCTCAGCCATCCTCCTCAGCCATCCTCCTCAGCCATCCTCCTCAGCCATCCTCCTCAGTACTCTTCAGTACTCTTCAGTCCTCCTCCTTCTCAGTCCTCCTCAGTCCTCCTCCTGAGTCCTCCTCCTCCTGAGTCATCCTCCTTAGTCCTCCTCCTCCTCCTCCTCCTGGGTCCTTTCCCAGTCCCCCTCCTTATCCTCCTATTCAGTCCTCCTCCTCCTCCTCAGTTCTCCTCAGTCCTCCTTCTCATTTCTCCCTAAGTCCTCCTCTGAGTCCTCTTCCTCCCTGAGTCCCTCCTCCTGATCCTCCTCCTCCCCTCTCAGTCAGTCCTCCTCAGTCATCCTCCTCAGCCATCCTCCTCAGCCATCCTCCTCAGCCATCCTCCTCCGTCATCCTTCTCAGTCCTCCCTCCTCAGTCATCGTCAGTCATCCTCCTCAGTCCTCCTGGGTCCCTCCTCCTCCTCCTCCTGGGTCCTCCTCCTCCTCCTCCTCCTGGGTCCTCCTCCTGGGGTCTTCCGGATCTCCCTCAGTCCTCTCCCTCCTCCCCTCCTCAGTCCTCCTCCAACTCCTCATCCCTCGTCCTCAGTTCTCCTCAATCAGTCCTCAACAGTCCTCCTCCCCAGTCTCCTCCTCCTCCTGGGGCCTTCTCCTGGGCTCCTCCTCCTGAGTCCTCCTCCTCCTGGGTCCTCCCTCCTCCTGGGGTCCTCCTTCTCCTCAGTTCCTTCTCCTCCTCCTCAGTCCTCTTACCTCCTCTTCCTCCTCCTCCCCCTCCCCCGCATCCATCCTCCTCAGCCAGTCCTCCTCAGTCCTCCTCCATCTCATTCCTCCTGAGTCCTCCTCTCCTGAGTCATCCTCCTCAGTTCTCCTCCTCCTCCTAGGTCCTCCTTCTGGGTCCTCCTCCTCCTCCTCCTGGGTCTTCCTGATCCTCCTCCTCCCTCTCAGTCATCCTCCTCAGTCATCCTCCTCAGGTCATCCTCCTCAGTCAATCCTCCTCAGTCATCCTCCCTCAACCATCCTCTTCAGTACTCTTCAGTACTCTTCAGTCCTCCTCCGTCTCAGTCCTCCTCAGTCCTCCTCTGAGTCCCTCCTCCTGAGTCATCCCTCCTGGGTCCTCCTCCTCCTCCTCCTGGGTCCTTTTCCCAGTCCCCCTCCTTATCCTCCTATTCAGTCCTCCTCCTCCTCCTTCTCCTCCAGTCTCACTCAGTCGTCCTTCTCATTTCTCCTAAGTCCTCCTCCTGAGTCCTCCTTCCCTCCTGAGTCCTCCTCCTGAGTCCTCCTCCTCCCTCTCAGTCAATCCTCCTCAGTGCAGTCATCCTCCTCAGCCATCCTCCTCAGCCATCCTCCTCAGTCATCCTCCTCAGTCCTCCTCCTCCAGTCATCGTCAGTCCTCTTCCTCAGTCCTCCTGGGTCCTTCTCCTCCTCCCTCCTGGGGGACCTCCTCCTCCTCCTCCTCCCTGGGTCCCTCCTCCTGGGTCTTCCTGATCCCTCCCCAGTCCTCTTCCTCCCTCCCCTCCCTCAGTCCTCCCTCCTACTCCTCCTCCTCCGTCCTCAGTTCTCCTCATCGTCCTCAACCAGTCCTCCTCCCCAGTCCTCCTCCTCCTCCTCCTGGGGCCTTTTCCTGGGTCC